CTGTGACTGATGGTAATTTCTGAGGTGTCAGATTTTCAAGTGAGTAGTAAAATCCACTCAGTCCGAAGTACCATTTATCTCAGCATCAGCTGTCCAGCAGAGTTATGGGAACAAGTCTGCTGTCCTGACCAGTCTGTAGTATAGGTTTCCCTTGCAGCTTCCTACTTCTAGATAAGTCCAAAATTCATGGACTCTGAGAGGACCAAAACACCATCTGGTCCAAGTCCCTGCTGTGAGGCTAGATCATCCATCTACCAGCCCCACTCATAGTGTGTCCTGCAGAAGATGCTGGCAGATCGAAATAGTTCTTGGCAATTCAAGCAAATGTGTTTAGCCACAAGCTCTGTGGCAAGATAAATAAAGCCCCAAGGTCACAGACTGGTCTTGGCTCCTTCCCAAGCCCAAGTGTAGTAACTGGAATCCTAGAGTGAGCAAAACCTATCCAGAATCATCCTGCAGAAATTGTGGTGACGGCAACTTATGTGCTGCCCTAAACCTTGTATCGCACAATTGCACTCATATCACACGCTAGCAAGGTCATGCTCAAGATCCTACAAGCTAGGCTTCAACAGTACGTGGATAGAGAACTACCAGAAGTACAAGCTGGGTTTCGAAGAGGTAGAGGAACTAGAGATCAAATTGCCAACATTCGCTGGATTATGGAAAAAGCAAGAGAGTACCAGAAAAATATCTACTTCTGCTTCATTGACTATGCTAAAGCCTTTGACTGTGTGGATCACAACAAACTATGGCAGGTCCTTAAAGAGATGGGAGTACCAGACCACCTCACATGTCTCTTGAGAAACCTGTATAAGGGCCAAGAAGCGACAGTTAGAACCGGATATGGAACAACTGATTGGTTCAGCATAGGAAAAGGAGTACGACAAGGATGTATATTGTCACCTTGCTTATTTAATATATATGCAGAGTACATCATGCGAAATGCTGGCCTGGATGAATCACAAGCGGGAATTAAGATTGCTGGGGAAAAGATCAACAACCTCAGATATGCAGATGATACCACTCTAATGGCAGAAAGTGAAGAGGACCTAAAGAGCCTCTTGCTCAGAGTAAAAGAGGAGAGCGCAAAAGTGGGCTTGAAGCTCAACATCAAAAAAACTAAGATCATGGCATCCGGCCCCATCACTCCTTGGCAAATAGAAGGGGAAGTCGTGGAAGTAGTGACAGACTTCACGTTCCTGGGATCCCAGATCACCGCAGACTGTGACTGCAGCCATGAAATTAAAAGACGCCTGCTCCTTGGGAGGAAAGCGATGGCGAACCTAAACAGCATGATAAAAAGTAGAGACATCACCCTGCCAACAAAAGTCCGCATGGTCAAAGCAATGGTATTCCCAGTAGTCATGTATGGCTGCGAGAGTTGGACTATAAGGAAGGCCGAGCGCCGAAGAATAGATTCTTTTGAACTATGGTGCTGGAGAAGACTCTTGAGAGTCCCTTGGACTGCAAAAAGATCAAATCAGTCAATCCTAAAAGAAATCAACCCTGACTGTTCCCTGGAAGGCCAGATAATGAAACTGAAGCTCAAATACTTTGGCCACCAAATGAGAAGGGAGCACTCCCTGGAGAAGACCCTGATGCTGGGAAAGATTGAAGGTCAAAGAAGACGGGGACGGCAAAGGATGAGATGGTTAGACAGTGTCATCGATGCAACGAACATGAAATTGAGCCAGCTTCAGAGGACGGCGGAAGACAGGAGGGCCTGGCGGGAGATGATCCATGGGGTCGCGAAGAGTCGGACTCGACTGTGCGACTGAACAACAAAAACCTTGTTTCAGATTTTGGGAATCTCAGATGCCCCAAAGAAAATCCCTAAGGTTGGTGTTATTGTTTCTTAACCGTCTACCGGGCATTCATAAAACTATAATGGCCATCCAGTGAAGTGAAGATTGATAAGGCCAGACTGGTACTTAAGACTGGTACTTTATCACAGTAAAAGCCCAGAAGCAGGAGTGATAAAACCCTTCCAACTTCGAGCTAAAACTGCTCCCTTTATCTAATGGTTAAGGGTTGCCCCAGATGTAGACAGGCAAATCCTCACAATGGGGCCAGCCACAGCTGTGATTTAGGGTTCTGAAATCGTAGAGGACCCCAATGTTTTCATATAATTGCTATTAACCGTTTTTTTAAGATCTGCAAACCAGAGATCTTTCGGTATCCACCACTAGGAAGAGGTGAGTGGAGAGAGGAGCTGAAACCAGCTGTAGAGAAAGGAGGAGGGAGAAGAGCTGGAGCCAGTGGGGGTGGGAAGTAGAACTGGAGCTGGCAGGAGGGAGGAAGCAAAGCCAGAGGTTAGTAAGGGGGGATGTGAAGCGGGAGGAGAGAGGCAAGCCAGCAGTGAGGGAAGGCCGAAGCCGGAGCAAGTGAGAAGAAAAGCTGGAGCCATAGCCAGAAGCAAAGGGGGGGGGGGGATGGAATCTGAACTGGCCAGTCCCTGTCTGGGTGATGAAAGCAGCACAATGGGGCTAGCTGTGACTATAATGGAAAACTCCAGGCATGCAGGGAAATATGTGATTTCAAATCAAACCCACAAAATGAGAAAGGAGGGAAATCTCTCAGAAGGAAATAAACCCCACCCCAAGTACCAGGTAGTGTGGTGTCTTTATATACAGCCCCTGGTAGTTTGAGAGCAGAGTTCAGTCACAAACCCAGTGTCTTCCTGATGGCCATTAAACTTAAGGGAAGCAAGAACCTTATAGGTTGCATCCCTTAGGCTGTGGGATGAGGATGTGGAATGACATTTCTCAAGCCCCCTCCTGTCCAAGGAAAAGTCCTGAGGAATCTCCATCTTGGGTACTGAATGGCAGAGAGGCTGGCAGAGGAAGAAGGAAAGATATGATCTGCAGCCCATTCTGGAAGATTATATTTCTTTTTCACAGATAAGTCATTTACATACATATCTCCCAATTTCAAGTAGCTGCTCACCAGCAATGATGACCCCCCTCCCCCCAAAAACAGGTGACAATGTAGAAACTAGCCCATCTGGCAACTCTGTCTCCGTTTCTGCCCAGGCAACGTTATGATGGTACCTAATAACAGTCATTCATCTGCCTGTCCTCCAGTACAATGTATGCCATCATATGCCAGTGATGGCCTTTCTGCTCTACATGTTAGGACAAACAAGTCAGTCTCTGTGCAGAAGTATAAATGGACTCAAATCTCACACAAAACATACAGTTCAGAAGCCAGTGGGAGAACATTTCAATCTCCCAGGATGCTCTGCGGCTGACCCAAAAGTTACCATTTATTCAATAAAAGAACTTTAGACTGAAATTGCTGAACTAGATCTTTTTCCAGCAAATTCAATTTGATTCAATTAGGCCTTAGTGTGGTTTCTTTTGCATGACTGGTGTTAAATTACCATAGCTAGAAAGATAGCATTATCATTGGAGACTGCTGCTGGGAATGGGCCACTCTGTTCTCATTTTTGGGAATTGTATGGAAAGGTCACAAATCTACTGCTAGCCCTTGTAGATCCTTTTGCCCTGTTTTGCCCTAAAAAAGAAAATTGTTATGAACTGCCAACTGGTAATAGCACTTTGTGCACTTGACCAAAAGGTCTCCACAGCCCATAGAAGCTTATAGCACTATAAGTGTGTTGGTCTTAAAGATGCCCCAAAGGCTCTTTGTCACGTTTGCTGCTACAGACTGATAAGGCAGCTCTTCTGGAATTTGTAGAATTAATTATGGTTACTGCAGATAATCTGATATGTTCAGTCTCCAAGTGTATGAAGGTGTGTGTCCTACCAGTATCCAAAACAATCACAGTATTAAGATCTGTCCTTTTTAAGAAAAGAAAACCAGCAAGCGACAAAACCAAGTTTGGCATTAAGGCTGTGGAATTTTGTGGAGAGCTGCCAATCACTGCTCAGTCTTAGAATGCCATGCAACCTTTTTGTTTGTTCTCCTTCTGGGTTTAGCTTAGTTTAGCAAGCTCTTTCAAGGTGTTGGATGTTAAGACACTGACTTTGTGGTTGTGTGGATCTTGTTGAATTTCTGCTTTTATGCTGTCATGTATTTTAACCCTAGTTACCAATGAGCTTGTAAGCCTGTATCTTGTCTGTACTAATAGGGAGTGCAAGTGGATGTTCGTATAAGTTTTAAAAATCCCTGCATATGGAAAACAAGAATGTTTGGGGGAAAGTCAGGCTAAAACCCTTCTCCCTAACATTTAGTTGGGGCTGTATAAAGCCTGGCAATCAGTTGTGTAAGCTCTGATCTGTGGTTGCAAATGGTACAATCCGCATTCACATTTAACATTTGAGGGCAGAACTAGACAAGATGGTGGGAGTTCCATAAATGGAGCTCATTATGTATGTGTGCACAGGGGCTGGATGCCTTGTGCTGTTTTTCTGAATGGCACTGTGGAATCACTATTCATCTGTTACCAGGCTTCCCAAGCACTTTATTTTATTTTTTACAGAAAAACACTAGGAGCTCCATTCATAGAATTCCCACCACCTTGTCTAGGGCTGCCCTCTAGTTATTTTGCAGGTTTGTTCCGTTTTGGTCTCCCATTGGTAGCTTACCTTAAAGAACAGCAATATAAGGTGAGATTAAATGTTTAAGATCGGTAAAATCAAAAGCAAAATTTTGGTCTCCCATTGGTAGCTTACCTTAAAGAACAGCAGTATAAGATAGGATATTAAATGTTTAAAATAGGTAAAATCAAAAGCAAAATTTCAGCACAGAAAAGTTGTTCTATATACGTTCCAGAAAGGATTACATTTTTAAATCAGTTTCAGGAAATGTCTTTCCTGTTGGGAGACCAGTGACGTCTCCTTATTGGCATTCAATGAGCTGCAAGTTCACAGCCACTTACCAATGGTGCCAGGGCGCTAGTAAAGCCTGCCAGCTGCTGCCAATATTGTTTCTTGTTATACAATGTCAACTGCAACCTCCTTGTTCTTGACTCTTCAGAGTCTGGGTAGGCAGCTGCTGTTAACCTGCAATGGTGATTAATCTCTGCTTTGTTTTAGCAGCCCATGAATTCCAGTACAACCACACTGCCTGCAGATTTGCCGACCTTTAGCCTCATCAGCGAAAGCTTGTCCTTTGACTTCAAGGATACAGACATGAAAAGATTGTCCATGGAGATAGAGAAAGAGAAGTAGGTAGCCTTGAGCTTTTGTAGCAGTAACTCTGATACTATGCTAGCATTGCAGAGGGATAAAACAGGAAGCCCCCTCTGTTTCTGTGTGAAATTAACAAAGCAAAGACTGCCAGAAATGGCTTTGAGCAGTGAAGAAACTGGTACCCTGACTCTAAACCATATTGTTTAAACTACAGTAGCATTGCTTACAATGGGACATGTGTATTGGATCAGGATCCCCGCTCCCTGTCTTTAGCAGCACTGGATGACACTGCAGATGGTATTGCAGGTCAGTAGAACAGGAAAAATAGTGTTGAAAATCAAGCAGATAATATTTCCCTCTAAATAGATCTAATAGAGTGGATGATGAAAGCTGTAAAACTGAGCCCCTCCAGTCAAAGTAGGGTGTGTGTGTGTGGGGGGGGAACTTCCCAGGTATGTAGAAAAATATGACCTTGTAAATTAACAAAACAAAATCTTTATTAGCTGGCCTTATGGGAGTGACAGTGCCCCAGACTGAGAGCAGCTGAGCATCAGTTAAAGGAAAGAAAGGATTATCAGCCTGCTCAAGCCTTTGAGAATTTAGAGAATCCTGGAGGGGGAGGTTTGAAGAGGGTGTCATGGGATTTTCAAATTGCCCCTCATAGACCCCAGCTTGTTCACTTACTATTCAAGTGAATGGCCTTGTTCCAAATCACTACAGCACCTAAGTGGGACCAACTTCCGTTCTGTATATCCGACAGTCTTTAATCTCCGTTAGCAGGGGTCTGGACTAGATGACATTTATACTTTTATCACTCCTACAAGTCTGCCTTAGCATAGCTTGTTGGTGCAGTTCAGAGCGGTGTCATTAGTTCCATCCTCCCAGCAGTGCTTTAGGGATAATTAAAGAAGAAGCCTATCATCTATTTTAGCTGTGTCTGCAAAATTGTTTGGTTTCATGGCTAACTGCAAACTTTGTGTGTATGTGTTACCAGGGTAGAATACATGGAGAAGAGTAAGCACCTCCAGGAGCAGCTCAATGAACTGAAGACGGAAATAGAGGCTCTGAAGTTGAAGGAAAGGGAGACAGCTATGGATATATTGCACAATGAGAACAGCGACAGGGGAAATAGCAAGCTCAACACCATCAAGAAGGTACAGGGTCTTTGCCGTGATACTGTTTTGCAGAATGGAAATAACCATTTGCTTGTGTGATACTTAATTTAGCCTGCTTCACGTGGAGAGAGATCTGGTTCAGCAACTACACCAAGAGTTTTTATTTATTTATTTATTTATTTATTTATTTATTTTATACAGTTTTTACCCTGCCCACTCCTGCAAGCAGGGCGCAGGGTGGCTTACAACATATATACATACAACAATTTAAAAATTAAAACATTATACAGTAAAGTCAATTCAATACAGCATAATATAAAGTGCAAGATGGCTTCAGTGTGGTTAAATTATTCATACATTCCCGTTGTATGTGTGCTCAGTTTGATAGTTTAATGCGTGGCAAAACTCCCACCAGTAATAACATAAAAGTAATGCCTGCAAATAGTGCCAGTAGATGGAAGAGATTTTGGGGGGGGGGGGCATTATAGTTTGGTATCCACTGCCTCAACCAAAGGCCTGGCAGGACAGGACACTTCCATTTTACAGGCCCTTCCAGAACTCTAACAAGTCCCGCAGGGCCCTGATCTAGCTAGGGAGACTGTTCCACCCAGCTCTGGCTCTGGTTGAAGCTAAGTGGACATCTCTTGGGCTGGGGATCAGTAGATGTTGATCTGAAGAACTCAGGGCTCTTCCGAGGTCATAGACTTCAGAAACTCAGAGAAAGTCAGGAAGTACCCACTAGCTCTTGTTATTTTAGGGGTATTAAAGAGCATTAAATAGCATTGTAGGGGTATTAAACAGCATTAGATACTGTGTAGAACTTCCAAGGTATCTTTCAAGACCTTGCTCAGAATTTGGAATTTTGTTCTCTCTGCAGTGGTGTGCCCAAGTGTAGCTTTTTGGCAGAACTTTTCTTAAGTTGCCCTAAACCTTATCTCACCTATACTTCCCTACTACTTTTACATACTCCTTGGTGGTCAATCTTCTGACCTTTTTTCACCTCAAGGAAATGTACACCCTCTGAATAAAGATTGGGATGCTACATTTATGTGTTGTTGGGGGGTAAATAATGCAGCTAATGGGACTACAATTTGAATTTGAAGACTAGTGCAGGGGAAAGGCTTCTTAGCCATTTTCTATCATGCCATTTATTTTCATTGAAAGTTGCTCTCAAAGGTCAAAGGTTGCTCTCAAAGGTCAATCTTCTGACCTTTTTTCACCTCAAGGAAATGTACACCCTCTGAATAAAGATTGGGGTGCTACATTTATGTGTTGTTGGGGGGTAAATAATGCAGCTAATGGGACTACAATTTGAATTTGAAGACTAGTGCCGGGAAAAGGCTTCTTAGCCATTTTCTATCATGCCATTTATTTTCATTGAAAGTTGCTCTCAAGCTGTGAGTGTGCATACATACACACCCATGCCAAGGGAAAAGTACAGGGACCTGTTTCTTTTGCCTTTAGGGCAATTTTCTGGAAAAAGAGAGAGAGAGAGAGAGGAGGAGCAGGTTATGAAGCCATTCACCCACTCCGACTTTCTCTTTCAATTTAAGATTTGGTGCCTGCATTTTGAAAAAAGCCCATCATCCTCAGAAAGAATCACAGGACCTTACACACTGTATATAGTTCTGTCCGCTGCTTCCCTGACACTAATTTTTTGACATGCAGAGAACTAAAAAAAAAATACACTGGAGTAATTATTCAGGTAATTTCTCATCAGTAGTGAAATCTAACTGGTTTAATCAAGGAACAGTTTTACTATGTGATGAGCTACTTGGTCTAGATCAGGCTTACGCTCGGTGGTATCTAGCGACTATAATGAAAAATGCTGATAGTGGCCAGCTGTCTCAAATGAGCTGAGCTAAATGAATCCAGGAATAGAAGAAGGCAAGCTACAAAATCAGATGTATAGTGTCCTCGTTTGCATAATGAGAATGCTAAAAGGGCTTGGCTGTTGCTGTGAATAGGGTTATTCCTCCTGATGTAACCCAAAGAGAACATAAGAACACAAGAGAAGTCAATGTTGGATCAGGCCAGTGGCCCATCCAGTCCAACACTCTGCCACACAGTGGCCAAAAATATCAGGTGCCATCAGGAGGTCCAGCAGTGGGGCCAGGACACTAGAAGCTCTCCCACTGTTGCCCCCCCCCCCAAAAAGCACTAAGAATACAGAGCATCACTTGCCCCAGGCTGAGAGTTCCTATCTATACTTTGTGGCTAATAGCCACTGATGGCCCTCTGCTCCATATGTTTATCTAATTCCCTCTTGAAGCCATCCATGCTTGTAGCCGCCACCACCTCCTGTGGCAGTGAATTCCATGTGTTAATCACTTTTTGGGTGAAGAAGTACTTCCTTTTTTCTGTACTAATCCAACTGCTCAGCAATTTCATTGAGTGCCCACAAGTTCTTGTATTGTGAGAAAGGGAGAAAAGTACTTATTTCTCTACCTGCTCTGTCCTATGCATAATCTTATAAACCTCGTTCATGTCACCCCTCAGCTGTCATTTCTACAAGCTAAAGAGCCCCAAGCGCTTTAACCTTTCTTCATAGGGAAAGTGTTCCAACCCTTTTATCATTCGAGTTGCCCTTTTCTGCACTTTTTCCAATGCTATAATATCCTTTTTGAGGTGTGGTGACCAGAACTGCACACAGTACTCCAAGTGAGGTCACACCATTGATTTATACAGGGGCATTATGATACTGGCTGATTTGTTTTCAATTCCCTTCCTAATAATCCCGAACATAGCGTTGGCCTTTTTTTATTACAGTGGCACACTGTCTCGACATTTTCAGTGAGTAATCTACTACGACTCCAAGAGATCTCTCTTGGTCAGCCTCTGCCATTTTGGACCCCATCAACGTGTATTTATGGTTAGGAGTTTTGGCTCCACTGTGCATCACTTTGCACTTGGCCACATTGAAACCCATTTGCCACGTTGATGCCCACTCGGCCATCCTCGACAGATCCCTTTGGAGTGCCTCACAATCCTCCCTGGTTCTCACCACCCTGAACAACTTCGTGTCATCTGCAAATTTAGCCACTTCACTGCTTACTCCCAACTCCAAGTCATTAATAAACAAATTAAAAAGCAGTGGACCAAGTACTGATCCCTGTGGTACCCCACTGCTAACCACCCTCCACTGAGAAAATTGCCCATTTATACTCACTCTCTGTTTCCTATTAATTAGCCAGTTTTTGACCCACAAAAGGACTTGTCCTTTTATCCTGTGACTATTGAGCTTACTTAGTAGCCTTTGATGAGGAACTTCAGGCTTTCTGGAAGTCAAGGTAAACAACATATGTTGGGTCCCCCTTGTCCACATGTTTGTTCACTCCCTCAAAGAATACTAACAGGTTAGTGAGACAAGATCTTCCCTTACAGAAGCCATGCTGAGTCTTCCTCAATTGGTTTTGTTCATCAGTGTGCCTGCTATTTCTTTCCTTAACAACAGTTTCCACCAATTTACCTGGTATCGATGTCAGACTGACTGGCCTGTAATTTCCCGGATCTCCTCTGGAACCCTTTTTAAAGATGGGAGTGACATTAGCTACCTTCCAGTCCTCAGGAATGGAGGCAGATTTTAAGGAAAGATTACATATTTTTGTCAGGAGATCAAGTTCACATTTGAGTTCTTTCAGAACTCTCGGATGTATGCCATCTGAGAAGAATGATTATTCTTCTGGCTATCTTGAATCCCGGGATATCCATTCTTAATAGTGCAGTGAAGGGGAAGAGGACCCTCTTGAGTAGCCTTATTATTGATCGTTATCTCTAATAGTAGGTCAGTGGCTTGGGAATTACCTGTGGCTCTTCTGAGCACTGTTGCCCAGTATGCCACCTACTCCACATTTCAGGAAAGTGGGCAAGGGCTTTGCCCAGTGGGACTTGTAGTTGACAGGTGGTTCCCATCTTGAAACAGGTGGTGCTGGAGGAACAGTTAAGCTGCAAGACTCCCTGAGGTGGAAGCTTCTTGCCAGAAATGGAAATGTGGCTTTTTTGGTTTATGGTAATTGCGAGCATCACTCAGTACCACTGGAGTAGACAGCCTCATGCAGATCTCTAGATCAGCAAAAATGGCCACCTATAAACAAGACAGAGGAACTTTAAAATATGTA